ATCCGTGATAAAATTCTCTGATTCCAGTTTGTTCTAAATTTGAAGTTTCAGTAATTCCTTGTTAAAACTTTGAAATTACTTTTCCAATTGAAATTAACAAAGTTCACGTTTCGCTTTTGAGATTTGGAATCACTTGCTGGAGTTCAAAATTTGAAAAGCATTGAGAATTGCTAGATTTTGACTGCGTTTTACCATTTTCCAGGCGAGAGAAACCTAGCCATGGGCTCCTACAAGGACGCAGACCCATCCCTAGGGTTCCTAACCCGAAAGGACACCGAGGTCAAGCTCCCACGACCCACTAGGGTTAAGAACAAAACCCCAGCCCCTGTCCAGATCACTGCAGAGCAAATTCTTCGGGAGGCACGTGAGCGTCAGGAGGCTGAAATCCGACCTCCCAAACAGAAGATCACTGATCCCACTGAGCTTGCTGATTACCGCCTCCGTAAGCGCAAGGAATTCGAGGACCTAATCCGGCGTGTGAGGTGGAATGTCAGTGTATGGATCAAGTATGCGCAATGGGAGGAGTCCCAGAAGGACTTCAAGCGTGCTCGCTCTGTTTGGGAGCGTGCTCTTGAGGTCGATTATCGGAACCACACCCTGTGGCTTAAGTATGCTGAGGTGGAGATGAAGAACAAGTTCATTAACCATGCAAGAAACGTGTGGGACCGTGCTGTCACACTCTTGCCCAGAGTTGACCAGCTCTGGTACAAGTACATTCACATGGAAGAGATTATAGGGAATGTGGCCGGTGCTCGACAGATATACGAGAGGTGGATGAATTGGATGCCGGACCAGCAAGGTTGGCTCTCCTTCATCAAGTTTGAGCTTCGCTATAATGAAGTGGAGCGTGCTAGAGCAATTTTTGAGCGGTTTGTGCAATGTCATCCAAAAGTTGGTGCTTGGATTCGGTTTGCCAAATTTGAGATGAAGAATGGTGAGGTTGCGAGGGCAAGAAATGTGTATGAGAGAGCGGTGGAGATCCTAGCCGATGACGAGGAGGCTGAGCAGTTATTTGTGGCTTTCGCTGAATTCGAAGAGCGGTGCAAAGAAACTGATCGAGCAAGGTGTATTTATAAGTTTGCACTTGATCATATACCCAAGGGAAGGGCCGATGACTTGTATAAGAAGTTTGTGGGTTTCGAGAAGCAGTATGGAGATAGACAAGGCATTGAGGATGCAATTGTGGGAAAGAGGAGGTTTCAGTATGAGGATGAGGTTAGGAAGAACCCTCTTAATTATGATGCGTGGTTTGATTATATAAGGCTAGAAGAGAGTGCAGGGAATAAGGATAGAATTAGAGAAGTTTATGAGCGAGCAATTGCTAATGTTCCTCCGGCTCCGGAGAAGCGATATTGGCAACGATACATTTATTTATGGTATGTGGTACACATACTAAGCCTTGGTTAATTAGCGACTGTGCTTATGCTTTGACTTTGATGTAGTTTCATTTGTTTGAATAATTGTTGCTGATTGTTTGTTTCTTTTGCAATGTTAGGATTAACTATGCACTCTACGAGGAGCTTGATGCTTCAGACATGGAACGTACACGAGATGTGTATAAGTATGCCTCATTTTGTTAACCTATGCTTTTGTTGATGTACCTGAAGATTGTTTTGTTCTTGCCATATTTTACCTTAACTACTATTCAAGTCAATAATGATACGTGACTACTTATGTATAAAATTGAAAATAAATCTTGTTTAGCTTTCTCGGTACATGAATTGCTATAGTGCACTGGGACTAAATTTTTTTTAATTTTTTATAACTGAATGTATATGAGGATATGCTTGAAACTATTACCTGTAGCAAACCGTTGTTTTATTTGAGCAATTTGGGTATGAAGTTGTATTTTTGGTGTTCTTATATTATATGTACCATTTTAGTTTATCATGACAGTGGACTGATGAGCTTTCAGTTTTTTCATAGTAAGTCATGATTTGTTGTAGTTAGTTTTTTTAGACATTTTTTGTTGCACAACTAATCTGATTTTTACAATTTGGAGTTTTTGCAATGCATATTGCCGTTATTTGGTGAAAATATTCATGCAAATTAAAACACAGGTTCACTTTATAAGTTTACATTTGTTACCTTTGACATAGTTAGTACGTGGACACGTCCTAAATACTTTGAACAGATTTCTCACTATACTAGAAATTTTTCCAGGGAGTGCCTTAATCTGATTCCTCACCAGAAGTTTTCGTTTGCAAAAATATGGCTCCTTGCTGCTCAGTTTGAAATACGGCAGCTGAATCTCAAGGGTGCACGAATGATCCTTGGCAATGCAATAGGCAAGGCACCTAAAGATAAGGTAAGGTATATTTAGCAAATACATATACTCATTTTAACAATGCCCATTCAACAAGTCAAAATGTATAGTTAATATTTATAATATGCTTCCTAAAAACAGATATTTAAGAAGTATATTGAGATCGAGCTGAACCTTGGGAATATGGATCGATGTCGGAAGTTGTACGAAAAGTATCTGGAGTGGTCCCCAGAAAATTGTTATGCATGGACGAAGTATGCAGAGTTAGAGCAATCTTTATGCGAGACAGAACGAACCAGGTCGCTTTTTGAACTTGCAATTGCCCAACCATCACTTGACATGCCTGAGTTGTTGTGGAAGGTAAGACATGGGGACATCCTTCTTTCTAATACGCCTTTTGTTGTTTGAATTTTGATAGTTTCTTGTGGAATATATTAATCTTTCCTGCACTTTTATGTTCTTCTATGATGTTTCATTTCATATAACATAATATGTCATAGATGTTAGTTGCACCGGTGCCTAGTTATAGTTCTTGACACGTAAAACTTGAATCGGAAGAAATAACAGAAGCAACACCTTGCAAAACACCTATTATTCTCAGTGTATCGAAGTTTTTTGTCCTTTATAACCTATCTACTGATTGATTTGTCTCTAAAGCTTAGTTTTTGATGCAGAGAACATGTTCCTAGCTTCTCAACATAGCAACTGTGACTCTGTTCTAGAAAATCTTTGAAAAATATTAATTCGTTGGCTAAGGTTGATGTTACTGGTATATGCAGTACAGATTCAGATGACAACATAATATTTGTTACTAATTTGATTGATAATTGACAACAGGCATACATTGACTTTGAAATATCAGAGGGTGAATTTGAGAGAACTAGAGAACTTTACGACAGACTCCTAGACCGAACAAAACACCTAAAGGTGTGGATCAGTTATGCGAAATTTGAGGCGTCTGCTATAGTGGAAGATGGTGTGGATTCAGATATGGCCAAAGACCAAGCCCAGGATTATCTTCTTGAACAGAAGAAACAATGTCTTCTCCGTGCTCGAAGTAAGCAGTTGTTAATGGATAGAATAGTAATTGAGAGTTGGCTAAATATCTCACCCTTGTTTTTTTTTTCTCTGTACATCAGGTGTTTATGAGAAAGCTGTTAACTACTTTAGAACTTCTGCACCTGAGTTGAAGGAAGAAAGAGGTATGTTGCTCGAAGAGTGGTTGAACATGGAGGCGAGCTTTGGAGATTTGGGTGATGTTAGCTTAGTCCAATCTAAGCTTCCAAAGAAACTGAAGAAGAGGAGGCCAATAATGACCGAAGACGGCCCTGCTGGGTATGTGATCAACTCTCATGTCTTTTTACGTTCCTAACTTTTTATATTCGTTTCTCATTTATTCATCTCGGTGTAGAGAATCTTTTATACTGAAAAATGGAGCATAGCTTTGATCTTCTTGTGTTGGTTCCATTTGGTAAGTTCATTTAGCTTTCCATATGTTAACCGATCTTTGTTGAGACTTTGGCAGGTACGAGGAATATATTGATTACATGTTCCCGGAGGAAGCTCAGACGACAAATCTCAAGATATTGGAAGCTGCCTACAAGTGGAAGAGGCAAAAGGTGTCTTCTGATGAGGACTAGTAAGTTTTTGCACCTTGTAGTTTCCTCTACTGTGTAAATACAGAGAAAAGTGTTGTACACCGATTGCTGAGCGAAATGGTTGCTTGGCTAATGGTCATCTTGATTTTGAGAAACCATGCTCGATGGTAATGTCTAACGAAACTTGTTTTAATCGACAAATATGTCCTCGTGGCTTGAGAGTTTGCAATTCATTTCGGGATATAAGTAACTGTTCTTAGGCTATACCCTTGCACGCATAGTTTTGTACTTTGGCGGGATGGTTTGCAATTCCCTTCATGTTCCAAGCTCCTTGGTAATTTTCCTGCTGTGGTGTTATCTGTGCACTTGAAGAAGAAAAGCGATCTTCCATTATTCGCCCATGTTATAACACGTGGATTATTAACATCAATTGTCGAAGTGAAAAAGAAAGTCATATATGAATAAATGGTTGTGGTGATTGAGTAGTACATAGCCCTTGTAAAAAAAAATTGAATTTATGCCCTTGTGGTGAAATCTGTTAGTATTCACACCTGAATGTAAAAGTTCTATTGCCCCTTGTCTTTTCGTTTCTCAATACGATTGTGTCTTCAGGCTAATTTGGTATTGCTGTATTTTTAAAAAAAAAATTGTTTTTGTTATGTTATGAGAATAAACAGTTTTAAAATAAAGTTGTTGAGTGTTAGGTAATTTTTTTTTTGGTAAAAGTGCTTTTAACAAAAAAAAAAATGTCTAAGTGTTTGATAAACCTTTATATAAATTGTTGTGAATAGTTAAATGATTAAAAATGATATGGTATTTAATGTTATGTAATAATTGTCAAAAAGAATAATGTAGGGGCAATGATTGTAATTTTGTATAACATATGGGGGTATATTTTCTTTTTGAAAATTTCATTAAATGAGCATTGATTTTATATGCATGGTAGCTTTTAGGGGTGGGTTCAAAAAACCGAAAACCGAAAAAACGGAAGTTGAAAAATCGAACGGAACGAAAAAACAAAACCGAACCGAATTCTTTTGGTTTTGTTTCGGTTTCGGTTTCGGTTTCAATGGTTTCAAAAATCGAACCGAACCGAATAATTATATTAAATTAATATTTATTTATTTTATTTTATTATTTAATCTGTTTTAGGTACTATCTTCAAAACCTAATTTCAAAGCCAAATGTTCCCAAACTTTTAAGCCCATATATTATTAGAAAAAACCTTTTAACAACTAAACCTTAACATATGTCCTCCCACTTTGTTATTTCTTTCACCTCAGCCGCACCACTTCTGTCGCTGTTGTTTCTTTTTCCTTTCTCCGTCCTCCATCTTCATTATTCACTCCCTCTTCCCTCTTCTTTTTTCTTTTTTTTTCTCCCCAGCTGGATCTTTACTCTCTCCCTCTTCCACGACAAATCATGTCTTTCTCTCTCCCCCCCCAAATCCTCTGTTGTGTCTTTTGATCTCTCTCTCTCTTCTTCCGGGCCAGCCAAGAATCCATACTTGCCGGCAGTCACAACAACTCTTCTGAGTCCAACTTTCAGATGGGTAAGAGATATTTTGTTTGAAATTTGAACCCAAGATCTGTGTGATTATGTGAATGAATTTTGTAAATTTCTCTGAGATTTGTATCTTTGTAAGTTTCTGAATGAATTTTGTGATGGTTTTGTTGAAATAAGATAGGGGTTGGACAAAAAGGAATTCTATATAGCTTTGGTTTTCTATTTGTAGGTAATTGCATGCAAAATTGAAATGTTTGAAAGAATTAGTTGAGATGAATGAAATGGCAATTTCGATATATGCATGATGAATCACGTGAATGGTTCCCTCAAGCAGGTTGGCTAGTGCTAATTGATCAATTATATTTGAACGAACTGAATTCGAAGGGATTTTTTTTTTTTTTTTGCTATTGAAGAAGAAGAAAAAAAAAAAAAACTGAACCCAAAAAAATATGAACCGAAAAAAATTGAAAAACCGAACCGTTTTGAACCGAACTCAGCCCTAGTAGCTTTTCTATTTTCGTTAACAGCATTTATAAAAAACACTTTTTATTTATTTTATCAAACACATTTGATGATCTAGATTTTTTTAATAGCTGTTTTTTTTAAAGGTACTACAATCTCAAACCAGTCATTCTTCTCTCTTGTCTCACTCATCCCGAGACCATTTTCATGAGTTTTTAGAGTTTAAAGCTCTGATTAGGGTGGAAACTTTTAGGAGTTGTGTTAAGAAGAGGAAAATTGAATGCAAGGGTCCTGTTTTTTTAGATGTGCCAACTAGGTGGAATTCCACCTATTTGATGTTAACGAACGCTTTGAAATTTGAAAAAGCTTTTGTGAGAATGAGAGATGATAAGATTGTATACTTATCATGGTTTGGTGAAGATTTGACAGGAGAAGAAGAACGGGTGGGTGGACCTTCCAATGGTAAAAACATGTATGGGCCACCAAATATGGAAGATTGGAGCAATGCCGCTATCTTTGTCAAATTTTTGAAAGTGTTCTATCAAATGACGTTGCAGATGAGTGTTACTTTACATTCGGCTTGTCATAGTACTTTTTCTGATTTGCTTGCAATTGGCTAAGAAATAGTTGATTTGTTCGTCGAAGAAGATAAGTTATTAACTTAAACACACACAAGCTTGATATTGTATGAAATGACACTAAGCATAAATGTAAAATTTGATTAGTATTGGGGTGATCTTGTTAAAGTGAATCATTTTCTATTTGTGGGACTTGTACTTGATCCAAGATATAAACTGGGCTATGTGCCACATATTTTGAAGCGTCGCTGGTGTAGTATTGATGAAGCCATAGCTAAGAGTATGAGAGGCCCGGCCACCTTCCCCCGGATGAGGTAAAAAGCCTAATCTTCAAACTATATGATGAATATGTTCCTTCTTCCAACCAAGTGGTTCTAGTGCTAATAGTTGTTCTAATACTACTAGTACTACAACTACTATTGGTGGTGCTGATCCAAAACAACATGGAAGGGGGAAAAACAAGCAGAAATAGACGAAAGTTGGATAAAAAAAGTTGAAGCAAGTAAAGTCGTGCTCTCGGAGCATGAGTTTGATAGGTACTTGTTAGATCGCAATGAAAAAGTGGAAGTGGGTCAAGATTTTGATATTTTAAATTGGTGGAAATTGAATGGTGTTAAATACCCACTGTTAGCACTAATTGCAAAGGAAGTTCTTGCAATTCTGGTCTCAACGGTAGCTTCAGAATCTGCCTTTAGCACGGGAGGGAGGATTATGAACTCATATCGTTCTTCATTGACTCCTTTAATGGTAGAGGTTAATTTATACTCAAAATTGGTTGATGTTAGATAACATCTCAATTTTAGACGACGAGACAATCTTGGAAGATATGGAGTTTTATGAAGCACTTGAAAAATGGATGAGTATTTATTTTTCATTTCTGTTTTTGTTTTTTCTCTTGTTTTGTTGCATGCTTACTTTCTTATTTTTTAATGAGTTCTTGATTTTTATATGTTCTAGAAAAAAGGAATGGTGGCCCATCTAGCATTAGGGATTTAGCAAATATTCAATCCTAACTTATCACCTTTTACTACTGATGATATGTATGTATCTTTAGTTTTTTAGCATCTTCCTTACTAATTTGAATTGTAAGCTTGTTGTATGATGTATGTATTTTTCTTGCTAAGTTACAACCCGTCCATAATTTTATTTTATTTATAAAAAAAAATGTGAAACGATCAAAATGCCCTTAGAGGTATGCGTCGACTTTCATTGATTTACTCGTCAAGACACGTATGACATATTAATTAGTATATTCTAACAACACTCATTAATATGACCGACTGATCATAAACGTAGCGAAAATTAGAACTAGAAGAAAGATTTTACGAAACACGTATAAATCATTTTATTTAAGGTAGTGGAAAAGATAATAGCGCTAGTTATAAAATATTAGTGATGGAATAAAAATAAATAAAATAAATAAATATAAAGAAATAAAAGAGAAGATGGGAGAACTCTCGAGAAATGGGAGACGTCGGTGGAGAAGAAAGAAAAAAAAAAGGAAGGATGATGGGGAAGGGGGATTCTTGTTGTTGTGCCTTGGCCGTTCGTCAGTGCGGAAGTGAGATTTAGATTGTCTCACCAAACTACAGACCCACAGTTGAACAGTTTAAATTACAAGAAATAAATACACTGAGAAATTTACGAGGTTCGGCAAAAATCTGCCTACGTCCTCCAAGAGATATTGCCCTTCACTATGAGAATAACTAGTACAAGATACACTTGAGTTAAATCAACATAACCCAAACTCCAATCCCTTGTATCCTTACAGAATTTTACTAAAAGCCTCGCTCTCCCCAAGAGTTTCTCACTCTCACTCTATATTTTCTCTCATTTGTGTTCTCCTTCGGATGCTCTCTCAATGCATTTCTAAATGCACAAATATTGCATCTAGTTATAGGCATACACTAGCAACTATACCAACAAACAAGACCAAAAAGTCTTAAGTTCACATGACATAATTATCACCTAGCCTACCTAGCATGCATCAAAGTCTATACCTAGTCTATAAAGTACAACTTTTCTCCATTTGTCATTTAATGCATATAAAATAAAACATGCACAATTGTGTGCAAGCAACCACAAAGTCAAGTCTTGCTTCCAACTTTGCTTGTGGTAGTCACCATGTCTTCTCTTGAAACAAGACATCCATGCCACAACCGAAAGCCAAACACAAAGTGGCTACTGCCATTTCCCTGTAGCACTCAGAAAGTTACACTATCAAAATTGTTGCTAACTCATAAGTATATGAGTCAAACACAACATTGTTGCTGTGGATGTTGAGATCAGCGGGAACGCCCCCATGCTTCAGGTTTGAGTTGTATTCATCTCTATAAAATACTAACTTGTGTAAAATATAGAAATAGATATCTAGCACTTCAACGATAGAGACCAGTATTTCCAAGAATTTTACTCACTTAATCTCCCTTGCTTTCTCCTTGTTATTTGGCTGATGTGAGACGAAAACTAGCTCTGGGTTTCTCACTTTTTATTGGGGTTGTTTACAGCAGTTGATGATCCTTCCATTATTGTAAGTATTTCCCAAGAAACTTCTGGGTATAATTGTGTGTGTGTGTATAGCATTGACATACATGCTTCAATCAAACAGAACCCTCATCACACATAAATATATATTGCTTTGTTTATAAATTTGATGTGTTTTAAGCTCTGCACTTTGTATAACCTTTTATGAAAGGCTAAATTGATTCAGTGGATGTAAGAATCTGTCAAGTATGTGTGATAAGAGGATTAGTCACTTGAATTACATAGAGTCAGTTTTTTTCTTTATTCTAAAATGCATATTCTAATTAAACGAAAAGAGCTGGGCAACTAGTGACCCAAATTATGTTATATAATGAATTGACAATGATTTATTTTGAATGAATGCTTTTATTCAACATGATGTGAAATTAAATTTCTTACTAGTTGGGAAATGATGTTGGTACACTAAGATTTATAGTTATAGACGGAAAGCATAAGATTTAGGTCCATGTAATAAGTAGAGACTCTGTCTTCCTAGGTAAAGACCCCTAAGAAAGTTAGTACGCATGGGTATACCGGTGGCCTTATTTCAAGGTAGTGGCCATGACCTTTTATTAGAGCTTATAGATACGACATTAAGGCCTAACCAAGATGTTTAGAACCAAGATTGAGAAACGTTGAGAAAGGATTTCGTAAATAAAATAACGTGTAATCAACCTGAGTTTTTAGAATAACTATGAAATCTTCTATTGAGGCGAGTTAGCAGCATAGGTATGGATTTATTTCTTAAGGTGAACTACGAATAGCTTGATCGTTATTTAGAGTACGTAGGCAGTCTAACGAGGAAGTTAGATGTAGCCATAAAGCATACAAAAAATTACTACGAAATTGGGACTTGAGTTGTGCTTTGTTCATAGCCTGAAGGCAAAGTAAATTAGATATACAGGTATTTGGTGGCGTCACGTGTTGATCCTGGATGTATGTTGGGATCTAGACGTGACAACTTTTAGTGGTATCAGAGCTTAGGTTAATAACTCGAACCATCTCATGATTATCGATTCTTATAAACACCTAGTCTTGTGATTTTTTCTGGATCAGTGTCCACTCATGTCAATCTTCATGGGTAAGTTTTCAAGACTCTTCTGTTGCCAAATACTTAGATTTCATTATAAATGAATCAGTCTTTGTGGAATTATAGTATGATGGGTGGCTAGCCAATTAATATTCTTTCTTGTAATGATATACTTGACTTGTTTGAAACCCATTTGATATTATAACTCCTCATATATATTGGAAAGGATAAATATTCATATATGCTTTTGACGAATTGACATGTGTGCATATATCTGTATTCATATGCTTTAATTTGTACTATTATTTGGATGAAAAATATATATAAGACTTTGGCTGTTTACTGGATTTTAGTTATGTGTACATGTACAAGGTTTTGAACATCACAAGGCTAAAGCAGTAATGGAAATTCTCGTTACTTTCAATTTTTTTTGTATGTGATCAAATATCATGTCCTTGGGTTTGGGTTCAAAGGTCAATTCTTGCTAATAGTTGAGTATAATATAGATAGAGTTAGAACCATGATTTCTGAATTGTTTGGAAGTGTTCTGAAGTTGTAATTTCAATAAAATGAGTTTGGGTTCTAAAATTGCAGATTTTTTTTTTTTTTTTTGCAGGAAAAAAAACTATTACAATTAGCTTACTATAGCTCCTGATTTCCCGGTCCTTGTGATTTCTTTTTGGTCCAATATTATGTATTTGGAGACTAGGCATGCCCATGATTAAATCCATCTGATTTCACTCATTTCCGTTGAGTTTTGATTGATAAAAATCATGTCCAAAGTTGAGTCACAGAGCTGCCAGATAGCAGCAAGTTCTGCATTTCCAGTTTTGGATCCCCATTTTATACCTGGCATAAGTAAATTAGACATACAGGTATTTGGTGGTGTCATGTGTCGATCTTGGATGTATGTTGGGATCGGGGCGTGACATGCTCTCTGAAATAAGTTGTTTGATTTTCTTACTCTCTGAAATAAGTTGTTTGATTTGATTACATGTTGTTTGATTGTGTACAGGAGTTGCTATTTGAAAAAGAATCTGTCATTGCCAAGGACATTTGGATTTTTGTTTTTTTTTTTTTTCGTTGTTGCTGCCAATATCAAGGGACCAATGCATATTTTTTTTAATGCTATTTGAATATTTCTTTTTGCTTGCTGCTGTTGCTGCTGCTGCCAATATCAAGAGACTAATGCTGCATGAGTTCGTGATTTGTTTTGTTTGTTGACTGACCAATGCCGATTTCTTTTAATTGTCTCTTTTTGTTGACTTGGTGCGACTGACCAAAGACATTTGCATTAAAAAGGATATGTGTTGTATGCAACTTTATATAATCAGTTTTAGAAGATGTATTTGAATGCATGATGATTTGGTGTTCAAATAATTTAGTATTTAGAATCGTAAACCAGCAAGAATCGAATCGGAACCGGTGTAGACCAAACCGTACGGTTCTAGTAATAAACTTAAGCGGAACCACACCGAACCGAATCGTTGATATTTTTCAGTTCCGGGGTGGAACCGCACGGTGCCCACCCCTAGCTCTGATTGGATAATTCTGAATGAAATTTTTTAACCTAACCGCTAAGGGTGTGTCCAAGGGGAGGGCGGGAAACAAAAAAAATAAAAAATTTGGCCTAAAACCTCCCCAAACGATGTAGACCTGTAAACGGGTCAGGTTTATTGGGTTTGGGTTGGGTTCAATCTGATCCGTTAAGCTAATGGCTTATCCGAACTTGACCCGTTAAGCTAATGGGTCACCTGTTTCACCTGTTAATAATTATTATTATTTTTTTTTTTTCATAGAGTTTATTTTTTGTTGTTAAGACTTGACTGAAATTACTAAAACATCCTCAACTAATGGACGCTAACGAGTCTAACGAGTTGATCCAAAGTGACCCGTTATTTAACGGGTTGTTAACGGGTTCACCCGTTAACGATCCAACCCGTTAAGCATCCACTCAAATACTAATATTAACGGGTCGAGTCGGGTCCAAAATGCCAGGTCTAAATCGATGTTTTGAGGGGCGAGAATTTGGGTTTGGAGTTGGGAATTTGGGTCAGCCCCCTTCAAGTGGGTCGATGGCCACTCAATAGATGTGCCATGTGAAGACCAACTGGAGTGGGCCCCACACAACAGATATAATAGGTTGACAAATTGCCTGCGGGCAAGCGCATGGAAAGCCCATTTTCTACGGTCCATAATGGTGTGCCATTGGCATTCGATGGTTGTCGTGCTTCCTGGGTTTTGATCTAGTGTGACGTGCCCATTTACATTTTTTAATTCAACGGCTCATATTCAATTTAATTAATTAATTATAATAAAAAAATCAAACGGTCAAAATAATATTATTAATTAATCAAAATCAGATCCAACACTAAAACTCCTCTAGTACACTACAAATACACACACTCATTTACTTTAAAGTTTTTACATCAAAATGTCTGTAAAAATAAAGATAGATGATATAAAAACTAATTCAAAATTATTAGCAAAAAAAAAATGTCAAATACAAAAGTTGAACAAACTATAAAGTTGGGGGGTGAGAATTATAGGCCCCTTAATTACCATTGTATGAAAAACTGCCTAACCTCATACATATAGATGGATAGTTGAAAATACAAAACTAAACTTTGATATTTTCCACCATTGGTTTGAAGATAGTCCAACGGATATTCTCCTTTTCTGGAATTTTCTTTTTCTTTTAATTGGCACTTAATTCTTGCTAAGGTCTTTCATCAAGGCGTTTGACGCAAGGAATAAATTTTGGGCCCTCTGCGTACAATTTGATGGAAATGGGCATCCACAAAAACACAAAATATATATTTCTTTTTGCTGATAGAAATAAATAAATGACTTGAATTTTAGAAAAGTTGAAGAAAGGATTTTTAGGCAGCAAGATAAGGTTACAGTTGAGATTTAAATATAGAAATGGCTTTGAGTTTTGCTAATTTAGGATTTTTCTTTATGCCTTTGTGCTGACGGTGGAAAATAGTTGCAGAGGGGGAGGGAGAAAAGAGGCTGTGAACAAAATAAAGGGAAGAAATGCAATTTTTGACTCACACATGAAAGTTACGTGCATGCTATTAATAGAGGGTTTTCATTACGGTTGATATTTTCATATAAATATCTAAAAAATGGGGAAGAGATATGGAAATAGGGGGTGAAGTTTATACTTCACCTCATATAAGAGAAACTCTAAAGTTCAGGCTAAAATCAGCGGATATAGTTGATATTTCTTACTCATATTTAAATAACGGAGAAACTCTTGTATTTCGTCTAAACCAATATTTAACAATTCCTAAAATTTCATTTTAAATTTCCTTCATTTCCATCAAAAGCAATCGATATCGATATAGATATTTGATACATCCACCGATATTTCTACAAAGTTACATATCAATATTTCCACCACAACAACAACAACAACAAAGCCTTTTCCCACTAAGTGGGGTCGGCTATATGAATCCTAGAACGCCATTGCGCTCGGTTTTGTGTCATGTCCTCCGTTAGATCCAAGTACTCTAAGTCTTTTCTTAGAGTCTCTTCCAAAGTTTTCCTAGGTCTTCCTCTACCCCTTCGGCCCTGAACCTCTGTCCAGTAGTGACATCTTCGAACCGGAGCGTCAGTAGGCCTTCTTTGCACATGTCCAAATCACCGGAACCGATTTTCTCTCATCTTTCCTTCAATTTCGGCTACTCCTACTTTACCTCGGATATCCTCATTCCCAATCTTATCCTTTCTCGTGTGCCCACACATCCCACGAAGCATCCTCATCTCCGCCACACCCATTTTTTGTACGTGTTGATGCTTCACCGCCCAACATTCTGTGTCCATACAACATCGCTGGCCTTATTGCCGTCCTATAAAATTTTCCCTTGAGCTTCAGTGACCTACGACGGTCACACAACACGCCGGATGCACTCTTACACTTCATCCATCCAGCTTGTATTCTATGGTTGAGATCTCCATCTAATTCTCCGTTCTCTTGCACGATAGATCTTAGGTAGCGAAAACGGTCGCTTTTTGTGATCTTTGCTAGATTGCTCCGGTCATTAGTATGTGGATAAGTATATAAATGGATAGAGATAGGAAAGCGAAACACAAGATGTACGTGGTTCACCCAGATTGGCTACGTCCACGGAATAGAGGAGTTCTCATTAATTGTGAAGGGTTTACACAAGTACATAGGTTCAAGCTCTCCTTTAGTGAGTACAAGTGAATGATTTAGTACAAATGACATTAGGAAATATTGTGGGAGAATGATCTCGTAATCACGAAACTTCTAAGTATCGGAGTGTGGTATCGTCTTGACTTGCCTTATCTGTCTCATAGGTAGATGTGGCATCTTCTCTGGAAGTACTCTTCCTCCATCCAGGGGTGGTATCTTTAACTGGTGGAGATGCACAAGGTAATGTATCAATTTCACTTGAAGCTTACTTGTAGTTTCAGGCTTGGTCAAGCGCGATACAAACCATGTAGTAGGAGTCCCCCAAGTCGCCGAGCTAGGGGATCTGCTGAAAGAGGTGACAGACAAGGTAAGCAATCAGAGCTCCGGCTGATTGTTCACAGTTCTCCCTATCTTGCAGGCAGCATGAAGGATAAAGAGAAGAAAATGAGAAGAGAGATGATATGGGATACTTTTGCTTTTGAAGAAGTAACTTTCCACAGGCTTATTCTTGAACTGAGCTGGAGGGTTTTCTGGTTTCCTCCAGAGTATAAGGCCGACTGAAGAATTTGAGGGTCAAAACAAGTCCATCAAATCTAGAGTACGTTCGACCCTGCTGATATGGGATACTTTTGCTTTGACAGAGTAATGGATGTATCGGCACGTGTGCTGTTACGCTTGTCTCCACATGCTTCCTTGTATCCGTTCTCACTTGCCCTATCTGTTCCTCAGGCAGATGCGGTATCTTCCCTGGAAGCATAAGATGTTGAAGATGAGTACTCGAGAGCAATGTCAGGTAAGTAATCAGGTAAGGGGTTCCAGGCAGTCAGTTCCTGGCTGGAAGCTTGATTCCAAGTGCTGACTGATTGCTCTCTTTCTCCTTGTCTTGCAGGTAAGAACAAGGTCCAAAGGAAAAAGACAGGGAAAAAGCATGATATGGGATACTCTTGCTTTTAACCCTGATGATATGAGATATTCTTGCTCTAGTATAGCTTGTTTGCAGAGGGATTATCGGGGGGAAAGAAAGCTGAATATTTCGAAAGGCTTCGTTGGGAGTGCCCTCTCAGATATGAGGAAGGGTTGAGCATTTTTGCAGGTCTGCCTGTCCGTTGGGGATGGAGGTCGACATATATAGGAGTCTCCTTAACAACAAGTAGTAATGTTATTCCTTTACCCTACTTGGTCATAGCACGGTAGTGGGAGCTGTCAGCTTCACATGTTTTAACGCTGTCAGAGCACTTTGAAAAAGTGGTTTGTGGTATCTGGAAAGCTGATGTTGCGTGTGAAGATTACAGACAGCTTTATCCAAGGAGATCCGACTCTTGAAGTTGGGAAAGTGTTGCCTCTTCGGTTTTCGAACAAGCAATCCTATCGGGGATCTGGCTCTCGAGATTCGGAGAACGATGCCTCTTCGATTTTTGAGAAAGCAATCATGCTGGGGGTC